GGAGCCACCTATGAGTGGTGGTGCACCTATGAGTTAGACAGTCCGGATGAGGTTGCTTCACTGACTTGGACTCAGTTTTCAGATCTGTTCCTGAGAGAGTATGTTCCTCAGAGCCTCAGGGACGCATAGTGCACAGAGTTTGAGCATTTGTGCCAGGGTGCTATGACTATCTCAGAGTATGCTGTCCGTTACACTAGTTTGGCTAGGCATGCACCAGCCTTGGTTTCTACTATTCGCGAGAGGGTTTGCTGGTTTATTGAGGGCCTTATTCCCAGCATCAGGTCTAGCATGGCTCATTAGTTGGAGATGGATATTTCTTATCAGCAGGTGGCGAGCATTGCTAGGAGGATTGAGGGTATGCATGCTAGGGAGAGAGAGGAGAGGGAGGCTAAGAGGTCTCGAGAGTCGGGCCATTATTCTTATGCCCGTGCCCCAGCTGTAGATCATCATGGTAGGGGATATATGAGTTGCCATGTTCATTCAGCTCTTCCAGCAGCCAGTGGTATTCCGGCTCCTCTTAGGCCTCAGGAGCCTTATTATGCACCTCCGGTATCTAGCGTGCCTCCTACGCAGGGTGCTTTCAGAGGTTAGTTCAGCAGACCTTGCCCAAGCTAGTCACAGCCACCACGTCCTCCCAGAGCTTGTTTTGAGTATGGTGATACACGCCATGTGGTGAGAGATTGCCCTAGACTTGGGAGGAGTACGCCTCCACAGACTTCTCAGCCACAGCGCGCCCCGTAGAGTTCTCAGGCTATGGTTATAGCTCTAGTTGAAACCCCACCTGCTCAGCCAGCCAGAGGTGGAGGTCGGGGAGGTAGAGGTCGCCCTAGAAGGGGAGGCCAGGCCCGATACTATGCCCTTCTTGCCCGTACCGAGGTTGTTGCCTCTGATTCTGTCATCACAAGTATTATACTGGTTTGTCATAGAGATGCATCGGTTCAATTCAATCCAGGCTCCACTTACTCTTATGTGTCTTCTTATTTTGCTTCGCATTTGGGTGTACCTCGGGATTCTTTGAGTTCCCCTATTTATCTTTCTACTCCTGTAGGATATTCTCTTATTGTGGACCGCATTTATCGGCCGTGTTTGGTTGCTCTTAGTGGTTTTGAGACTAGAGCCGATTTATTGTTGCTCAGCATGGTAGATTTGATATTATCTTTGGCATGGACTGGTCATCTCCCCATTATGCTATTCTTGATTGTCACACCAAAATCGTAACGCTGGCTATGCCAGGTGAACCGCGTGTTGAGTGGAGGGGTACTTTAGATCATACTCCCAGTAGAGTTATTTCTTTCCTTAAGGCTCAGTGAATGGTTGAGAAGGGGTGTGACTCGTATTTAGCTTATGTGAGAGATGTTAGTATTGATACCCATTTAGTTGATTCAGTCCCAGTAGTACGGGATTTTCCCGATGTGTTTCCAGCTGATCTTCCGGGCATGCCGCTTGAAAGAGATATTGATTTTGGCATTGATCTGTTGCCGAGCACTCAGCCTATTTCTATTCCTCCGTATCGTATGGCTCTTCCTGAGTTGAAGGATCAGTTATAGGAATTGCTTGATAAGGGTTTTATTCGGCCCAGTGTATCACCTTGGGGTGCTTCTGTCTTGTTTGTGAAGAAAAAGGATGGTTCTGCGTATGTGTATTGATTATCGCTAGTTGAACACAGTTACAGTGAAGAACCGTTATCCTTTGCCTCGTATTGATGATCTGTTTGACCAGCTTCAGGGCGCACGGGTGTTTTCTAAGATTGACTTGCGCTCAGATTACCATTAGTTGAAGATTCGGGAGACAGATATCCCGAAGACTGCTTTCAGGACTCGGTATGGTCATTACGAGTTCCTTGTTATGTCATTTGGGCTCAATGCCCCAATAGCCTTTATGCATTTGATGTACAGTGTGTTCCGGCCATATCTTGACCCGTTCATCATTGTCTTTATTGATGATATTCTAATGTATTCCCGGAGTCGGGAAGATCATGAGTAGCACCTGAGGACAGTGCTTCAGACCTTAAGAGAAAAGAAGTTATATGCTAAGTTCTCAAAATGTGAATTTTGGTTGGATTCCGTCATTCTTAGGCCACATGGTGTTGAATGAGGGTATTCAGGTGGATTCGAAGAAAGTAGAGGCCGTGCAGAGTTGGCCCAGACCATCCTCAGCTACAGAGATTCGCAGTTTTCTTGGCTTGGCGGGTTATTACCGTCATTTTGTTGAGGGGTTTTCATCAATTGCATCCCCTATGACCAAACTGACCCTAAAGGGTGCTCCATTCCAGTGGATGGAAGAGTGTGAGGCAAGCTTTCAGAAGCTCAAGACAGCTTTGACTACAGCCCCAATTTTGATATATGCCAACGGGTTCGGGGTCTTACACTGTCTATTGTGATGCCTCAAGGATTGGCCTTGGAGAGGTTTTGATGTAGGATAGTACGGTAATTGCCTACAAGTCCAGACAGTTGAGGGTGTATGAGAAGAATTGTCCTGTCCATGACCTGGAGTTAGCTGCCATTGTTCATGCCCTGAAGATCTGGCATAATTATTTGTACGGGGTTCCCTGTGAGATCTATACTGATCATCGGAGCTTGCAGCAACTGTTCAAGCAAAAGGATCTAAATTTGCACCAGAGGAGATGGTTAGAGTTGCTGAAGGACTATGATATCACTATTTTGTATCATCCGGGCAAGGCCAATATGGTGGCTGATGCCTCGAGTCGCCGAGCAGAGAGACTGGGGAGTTTGGCTTATTTACCAGCATCGAAGAGGCCTATGGCGATGGATGTTCAGGCCTTAGCCAGCTAGTTTGTGAGATTGAATCTTTCATAGCCTAGTCGAGTTCTAGCTTGCGTAGTTTCTCGGTCTTCCTTATTTGATCGTATCAGGGAGCGTCAGTATGATGACCCTCATTTGCTTGTCCTCAAGGACAAGGTTCAGCATGGTGATGTCAGAGATGTGACTATTGGTAATGACTGGGTATTAAGGATGTAGGGTCGGATTTGTGTACCCAATGTTGATGGACTTCGGGAGTTGATTCTGGAGGAGGCCCATAGTTCGCAATATTCCATTCATTCGGGTGCCACGAAAATGTATCAAGATTTGAGGCAGCACTATTAGTGGAGGTGGATGAAGAAAGATATAGTTGGATTTGTAGCTCAGTGCCTCAACTGTTAACGGGTGAAGTATGAGCACCAGAGACCGGGTGGGTTGCTTCAGCAGATAGAGATTCCGGAGTGGAAGTGGGAGCGGATCACCATGGACTTTGTAGTTGGGCTCACACGGACTTTGAGAAAGTTCGATGCTATTTGGGTGATTGTGGATCGACTGACCAAGTCCGCTCACTTCATTCTAGTGTGTACTACCTATTCTTCGGAGCGTCTAGCAGAGATTTATATCCAGGAGATTGTTCGTCTGCATGGTATTCCAGTTTCCATCATTTCATATAGAGGTAGTCAATTCACATCACGATTCTAGAGGGTCGTTCAGCATGAGTTGGGTACTCGGGTGGAGTTGAGTACAACATTTCACCCTCAGACGGAAGGACAGTCCGAGCGCACTATTCAGATTCTTGAGGATATGCTCTGTGCGTGTGTGATTGAGTTTGGAGGGTCTTGGGATCAGTTCCTGCCATTGGCGGAGTTTACCTACAATAACAGCTATCAGACCGGCATTCAGATGGCTCCGTGTGAGGCTTTATATGGTAGGCGGTGTAGATCCCCGGTGGGTTGGTTTGAGCCGGGTGAGGCCAGATTATTGGGCACAAACCTGGTTTAGGATGCTTTTGAGAAGGTTAAGGTGATTCGGGATAGACTCCGTATAGCCCAGTCCAGATAGAAAAGTTATGCGAATCGGAAGGTTCGTGATGTTTCCTATATGGTTGGAGAGCGGGTTGTGCTTCGGGTATCGCCTATGAAGGGCGTTATGAGATTTGGGAAGAAAGGAAAGTTGAGTCCGAGGTTTATTGGTCCTTTTGAGATATTGCAGCGTGTTAGGGAGGTTGCTTATGAGCTTGCCCTACCTCCCAGCTTATTAGTAGTTCATCCAGTATTTCATGTTTCGATGCTTCAGAGGTATCACGGTGATCCGTCGCACGTGTGTTGGATTTCAGTTCAGTCCAGTAGGACAGGGATCTATCCTATGTTGAGGAGCCAGTGGCAATATTGGACAGGCATGTTAGAAAGCAGAGGTCAAAGAACATTGCGTCAATGAAGGTTTAGTGGAAGGGTCAGCCAGTCGAGGAAGCGACCTGGGAGACCGAGCAGGATATGCGCAGCCGCTACCCTCATCTTTTCACTACTTTCAGGTATGCCTCTATGCTCGTTCGAGGACGAATGAATGTTTAAGTGTAAGAGGATGTGACGAAATCCATAGAAGTCGCTGCTAAAAGGTATTAGCAGTGACTTTTGTATTGCCACAAGGAAAACCGTAACTGAAGGTTATTTGTGGCGACCTTTTGTAGTCGCCACTAAAAGAACATATTTTGTGGTGACAGAGTTGCCACAAAAGGTTGGAAAAAATGCTACAAAAAATTATTCCATAAGAACAAATATTGGATGGGTCTCCACTATATATTCACCTTTAGCAGCAACTATGGCCGCCACAAAATATATTTATGTTCAATGGCAATATTATGCCGCTACTATAAATGTCCTTTAGTAGCGACTAAAATTGCCACAAAAAATATTTAAGTTCAGTGGCAAGATTATGTCGCTACTATAAATGTCATTTAATAGCGACTAAAGTGGCCACAAAAGTTTTAACCATGAAAGACACTATGTTTTCTGTAGCGACTAAAGTCGCTGCAAAAGAAATTGACCTTCTGTGGCAACTTACATATCGCAACAGTTACTAATTTTTTGACAAAACTATGTCGCCACTAAAAGTTATTTATATCAAAATTCACCAAAATCAACCAATAAAATTCACCTAATTCTCTAAAATTTCATATAGAGATATTCATATCAATTGACTATCAATATTAAAGCAACCAATAATGCTTGACAAACACCAAAATAATTTCTCAAGCTGATAAATATTATCATTACTAAAAAGTTAATTACATATATACTACCCGACACTTTATTGTGCATTGTAATTGTACGCATATACATATCCCAAAAACGATAAAATATTAAGTGTCTTGTAACTGCTCCTTGCCCGACACCATCCTTGAACGATATCACTGTTTAAGTGACTTGTACCTGCTAGACAAAGTAACATATATAAGGAACATAATTAGATTTGTTATATACAACTACTATAAAAAATTTAAGAATTTATTAGAATTTTCAATCCATGTCAAAGGAAAGCCAGAAGTTGCGATATGGTTCTATTTGTATGACTTCATTCATAATAGAGTCAGCTATCTAGATTTTCTAAAAATATTAACCTCAACCTGAACTACAGTCTGACCTTACAATGGCAAAATATGGAAGTCTACAGATGTGTACTGATCTATCATCATGCATCAGAATGTGACCAAGACACTGATTGAAATATGCAAATTGCACAATAGCTTTTTGACCTTGAATCATTCAGAATTCACGCAAACTTAGCCAAGATTGGAAGAAAATGAAATCAAAAGAAGAAAATAAAATCAAAATATTCAAATGGAAGATACTAACTAAATGGATTCACAAAGGCGAAACTAATTGGATTAAACTAGTTGAGCGTATGTTGCATAGCTATATGTAGTGTTGGAATGAAACCAGCCTGAATAAAGTAGAATGAGTAATTCAAGAGTGACATAGCTGATGCCTACTGATTTAGAATTAAGCATAGATGAGTGATTGATCTTGATTGCAACATGTCTTTTTAGTCACATACAAGTTCACATCAACTTAAAAGGAGTGATCCAGAAGATATAGATTGAAACATATCTAGTGTTACATCCAAGTCAACATTGTCTCAAAAGAGGGATTTAGAAGAAAAAACAAGTTTCAGAACGGGCGTCGCATCACCATGGCAGGTAGGCAGATCAGGCATATGATTCAAAGCAAAAATATCATGTCACCTGTTGTGCTTTACAGATGAGTCCAGGAGGAATAGAAACATAGAGGTCCTTATTTAACTAAAGAATATTACAGGTTACACGTTAAGATTATCTTTGTCTTAGTCATAATAAAGTAGCGTGTCTACAATATTTTTGCAAAGAATAAAGGGAGGGGAAAAGAAAAAAGAAACATGAAGAAGTAACTGAATACCGGTAGTTCTTGACATCAGATACCAACATCCACATTTATCAGTGCTTCTATTCCTATCCTGATCACAGAGCATGAGTGGGATCATGGAGGAGACTCCATGTTGAACCTTTAAAGTTAAGGAATACAAGTAACGAGTTGCACGTAGACATCTGAACCCACCAAAATCACATATTAGGACTCTTCAAGTTCAAGTGCTCGCCTCGCGTCAATTACCAAGTAATGCTGAACTTAGCATTGTTGATAACTTATGGCTGACAATCAAATTAACTTGGATCTAGTGTGTTTTATGAGTGAACCATTCTTACGGAATGTAAGCTGAGTGCATGGCTGAATTGGGAAAAATAATGTATCTGAACATTGCTTGACAGTAAACTTGAACTGCAGTCTTTGGCGACACAATTCAGTCACATTGGAAACAAAGTGGAATAAAATCTCAATGCAGCATGATAGTAAGCCAACTCAACATGGAATACATGCAAAGGTCTCAACAAGAAGTACAGAGAGTTTATAATACTCAACAAGGAAGAATACTGAACTAATCCTTGAGGAACTTTTTTATAATACTCTTAAGTAAAATATCTTAATCCTCGTAGTCTCGTCATTCCAGACAAACCAGGTTCCTCAACCCCAAGTACCTCAGAACAAACTATCCAAAAAAAAATACCCAACCAATGAGTAACTGTCGTTCTCAACATCAGATCACACATGTCAAATAGAACCAACACATTACTAAAACCAGAGATACTAACACATTACGTACTAAAACCAACCTTTCTATTGAAATAGAACCAACACATATCCAAAAATATACTCAAAACATAAGTTTAAAATTCTGTTTTATATACATAAGTACATGTTGACTCTCTTATTTTCTTTGTGTTTACTTTTTATATTTTAACACCCTTATTCCTGGCTCTGCCACTATCATGGGCTGGGAGAACAAATTGCTATTACACAATGCAACTTTTTGAGCAAGGATGCCCCAGATTTCCCATGATCTCATCCCATAAATATAAGGATTGATAATGTAAAAGACAAAAGTAATTTTGAGTAAAGTTATAAGTTTATAAACTAAAAGGGAAGTTTACATCTATGAAATTTTACTTCAATTTCAGTAGCAAAGTTGTCTTTTTATCATTTGATGCGTACACTTTGTTCCTTCCATGTCTTTAAATTCCTTAACTAAACAATAGCCCTAAACATTAAAAAGGCTGCAAAATAAATAAAAACAGAGAACAAAAACTGCAAATTAATGTGGGAATTCTATAGTAAAAGAGGTGCGGAAAAAGAAAAAAAAAGTCTACAATAAATCTCTCTTTAGATCGTAAAGTGTCAAATGAAAACTGAATATGCAAATGTGAGAATTCACTTAAAACGATCAACACAATAAATGGAAATTCAGATTATACTACCAATTTACACCTTACATACTGAAACTAATTTCCAGAAATAAGCCTTCTCTTGTACATCCTATACAAATCAGTTCATTCTGATTATCTAAGTCTAAATTATTCATAATATTTAATTAATAAGCTATCTATTATTTTAGAAGTTTCAGCTCTAACTAACACTTCTCTATGCAAGTCTCACACTTTATAAGAATCTCAGAAACCCTTCTTCAACAAATCTCCCCTTACACTAACCCTTAGCTTGAACACGGTATTCATACAACCTTTACAAGGACACCGAATCATAGTGTTCACCGTTGGTTGACTGAATGCCCAATTAAGAAAGTTGTCTACTCCATCTCTATACCTTTGGTCGACTCTATTCCGAATATTCAACCAACTTTTATCCATCATATCTATTTTAAACATAAATAAATGAATTACCTAATTAAAAGTGAAAGGATTATAATAATCAAAATATCAATAATAACTAACATACCAAAGAAACCAAATGGTGATGCAGAATTGAGAAAAAGTTAACACTAGTAAAGCCAAGTGCAATCCAGGTTCACAAATGATATCACTTCTATAAAATTCTCTATGTCAAAATAACCAGATCAAAACGCCCAAGTTAGGTCATGTGAAACTACATTAACCCAATACTCTGTAAATACTACTCGGTAGAACTTGGTGAAATACATGAAACTCTAAGTGATAAGAACAATGAAGTTAATATTGAGCTACAGAAGTAACTACAATCATTACTAAATCTGAAGCTTGCTAAAAAAGATTTAGCATATTGATAACATCCTCAATAAACCAGACATATTCAGAAATTTGGAAATCGAGAGCTGCAAAAACAAAGTGTAGGAGGTGTTGAATTTGGTTGTCCATATTTCTTAATTTGATCATCAAAACATTAAAGAAAAACAATATAGTAGAACAGTATGAAAAGTAGATTAAAAAGGGCTTAAATAAAAAGAGCAATTGAAATTGAAGATGTGTTTTAAGATTCTAACACTTAAAAACGGATTGAATTTGAGCGAATTATGCAAATAAACAAAAGAATATATCCATTTGAAAATTTCACAAATCAATACCAAAATATCAAAAACTAAAACTGCAAAACTGATTCCTTTAGCTATTATGGAAATCCTGGTCCTTTCAATTAAGTCAATAAGAATCAAATTAATGGATAATTCAAGTAAATACCTTATTAGCCTTTTCATTTTCGCATCCACTTCCATCATACTGATTGACTCTGCTATGCTTTTAAAATCCTAACATCAAACTGATAAACACCCAAAACTATACAATAACAGGTACCGTCCAAAATAGAAACAAAAAAAACAATAAGACTAAGGTCTAGAATATGAGATTATCTTGAATTTTCTTCAATCAACTTGAACCTAAAAGTTTAGAATTGACATGGAATTTCTGTGAGCTCACCGTGTCAACTAAGCAAATCAGATAATAGTACAAAAATGTGAAGCATGTTACATACAAATGTTATCCAGCTGTAAAATGTTAAACAAACTAACAATTAGCAAATTTCAGATAAATTTTCTACTACATGTCAGCTAAACCAGTCCATAGACAAAGTTTTCCAAAACCAATCAGGCAATGTGTAATTAGAACAAATATTACTCCATCCTAAAATACCCCATCTAAAACCTCAAGTCAAATTGTTAAAACCCAAATCAGCACAACACAGGCTCAAACTCAAACCATAGTGTGATAAAATAGATCATAAAATTAACTTCGAGTTATGAGGTTACCTTGAATAGAGTAAAAGTGGAGCTTAAAAGTAGCATGAGAGAATCCAATTTCTCGTCTCAAAGCTTTCTCGGACTAGAAAGTTATCAAATTTATGCGGGAAAAAAATATAACCACATAAGAACAGAAAAAGAATGAAATACCAAACATACAATCGCAATAACAACACCAAAAGGTCTTTCAAGAAGAAACTTTCACTTACCCAGGAAAATATATAGCTGAGAGTTCGGTCAAGACTTAGAATCAGAAAATAACAACACTTAGATGACACAATCTGTACGAATTCCTGTAAATATTCAAATGGGTCAAAGAAATTTGAGATAAAATATGAGAATGCAAATATAAAAACATTAAGATAATAATTATTGCTAGCTGCATGTTAAAAATTTTGCCTTCTAGAATCTTTATAAAGAACCTCAAATGTAAAAAATTTCCTTCATTCTTGTTGTATTTGGAAAATCCTAAGAAAACCCAACAAACTTTCGTATAACCCAAAAGAAAAATGAAAGTATTAGGGATTTGAACACATACATGATTTGAGCTTTTGGGTCAGTGATTAGATGCAGAGAAACGGAGCAGCCAACACTTCCTTTAATTAGGAGTTGAGAAATGGAGTTATCTTATATAAGATTCACATTTTCTGATTTTAGGATTTTGAGCAGAGGGGGATTTTGAGTAGAGAGAGATTTTGAGCAGAGAGGGATTTTGAGCAGCTGATGAGAGGGGCTCTAATTTCTTTGTTTAGGCCTTCAGATCTTTTAGTGTTATGCGCCTCTAATTTCTTTGTTTCTTTTAAAAATAAAATAATTAAGTATAGCAGCGACCCTGTCACTCCAATATACAATTAGCGGCGACATTTTTAAAGTCGCCACAAAATTCGTGGAGCCAAAATTTTGTTCTCGCGGGAATAAAATATTTCAGCATTTAGTTGCAAATATTAGAGGCGACCAGATAAAGTCGCTAATAAATATTATGATTTTGTAGCAACATTTTAAAGTCGCCGCTAAAAGTCTAACTTTTCCTGCAACCAAATGGGTTGCCACAATATGTCACCACAATAAGTCCAGTTTCTTGTAGTGTTTAGACCTTGAGAGAAAAGAAGTTATATGCTAAGTTCTCGAAATATGGATTTTGGTTGGATTCCGTGGCATTCTTAGGTCACGCGGTGTTAAATGAGGGTATTCAGGTGGATTCGAAGAAAGTAGATGTCGTGCAGAGTTGGCCCAGACCATCCTCAGCTATAGAGATTCATAGTTTTCTTAGCTTGGCGGGTTATTACCGTCGTTTTGTTGAGGGGTTTCCATCGATTGCATCCCCTATGTCCAAGCTGGCCCTGAAGGGTGCTCCGTTCCAGTGGACGGAAGAGTGTGAGGCGAGCTTTCAGAAGCTCAAGACAGCTTTGACTACAACCCTAATTTTGATATTGCCAACGGGTTCGGGGTCTTACACTGTCTATTGTGATGCCTCGAAGATTGGTCTTGGAGCGGTTTTGATGCAGGACGGTACGGTGATTGCCTACGCGTCCAGACAGTTGAGAGTGCATGAAAAGAATTATCCTGTCCATGACCTGGAGTTAGCTTCCATTATTCACGCCCTGAAGATCTGGCATCATTATTTGTACGGGTTTCCTATGAGATTTATACTGATCATTGGAGCTTGCAGCATCTGTTCAAGCAAAAGGATCTAAATTTGCGCCAGAGAAGATGGTTAGAGTTGCTGAAGGACTATGATATCACTGTTTTGTATCATCCGGGCAAGGCCAATATGGTGGCCAATGCCTTGAGTCGTCGAGCAGAGAGTTTGGGGAGTTTGGCTTATTTACCAGTATCGAAGAGACCTATGGCAATGGATGTTCAGGCCTTAGTCAGCCAGTTTGTGAGATTGAATCTATCGGAGCCAGTCGGGTTCTAGCTTGCGTGGTTTCTCGGTCTTCCTTATTTGATCGTATCAGGGAGCGTCAGTATGATGACAGTCATTTGCTTGTTCTCAAGGACAAGTTTCAGCATGGTAATGCCAGAGATGTGACTATTGGTGATGATGGGGTATTGAGGATGCAGGGTCGGATTTGTGTACCCAATGTTGATGGACTTTAGGAGTTGATTCTGGAGGAGGCTCATAGTTCGCAATATTCCATTCATCCGGGTGCCACGAAGATGTATTAGGAATTGAGACAGCACTATTAGTGGAGGTGAATGAAGAAAGATATAGTAGGATTTGTAGCTCAGTGCCTCAACTATCAACAGGTGAAGTATGAGCACCAGAGACCAGGTGGGTTGCTTCAGTAGATAGAGATTCCGGAGTGGAAGTGGGAGCGGATCACCATGGACTTTGTAGTTGGGCTCCCACGGACTTTGAAAAAGTTCGATGCTATTTGGGTGATTGTGGATCGACTGACCAAGTCCACGCACTTCATTCCTGTGTGTACTACCTATTATTCGGAGCGTCTAGAGGAGATTTATATCCGAGAGATTGTTCGTCTGCATGGTATTCCAGTTTCCATCATTTCAGATAGAGGTACTCAGTTCACAGCACAATTCTAGAGGCCCATTCAGCATGAGTTGGGTACTCGGGTGGAGTTGAGTCCAGCATTTCACCCTCAGACGGACGGACAGTCCGAGCACTCTATTCAGATTCTTGAGGATATGCCCCGTGCGTGTGTGATTGAGTTTAGAGGGTCTTGGGATCAGTTCTTGCCATTGGCAGAGTTTGCCTACAATAACAGATATTATACCAGCATTCAGATGGCACCGTATGAGGCTTTATATGGTTGGCGGTGTAGATCCCCGGTGGGTTGGTTTGAGCCGGGTGAGGCCTGATTATTGGGCACAAACTTGGTTCAGGATGCTTTGGAGAAGGTTAAGGTGATTCGGGATAGACTCTGTATAGACCAGTCCAGATAGAAGAGTTACGCGAACCGGAAGGTTCATGATGTTTCCTATATGGTTGGAGAGCGGGTTCTGCTTTGGGTATCGCCTATGAAGGGCGTTATGAGATTCGGGAAGAAAGGAAAGTTGAGTCCGAGGTTTATTGGTCCTTTTGAGATATTGCGGCGTGTTGGGGAGGTTGCTTATGAGCTTGCCCTGCCTCCCAGCTTGTCAGGAGTTCATCGATATTTCATGTTTTGATGCTCTAGAGGTATCACGGTGATCCGTCGCACGTGTTGGATTCCAGTTCAGTCCAGTTGGACAAGGATCTATTCTATGTTGAGGAGCCAGTNGTATCACGGTGATCCGTCGCACGTGTTGGACTTCAGTTCAGTCCAGTTGGACAAGGATCTATCTTATATTGAGGAGCCAGTGGCAATATTGGACAGGCAGGTTAGAAAGCTGAGGTCAAAGAATATTGCATCAGTGAAGGTTTAATGGCGGGGTCAGCTGGTCGAGGAAGTGACCTGGGAGACCGAGCAGGATATGCGCAGCCGCTACCCTCATCTTTTCACTACTTCAGGTATGTCTCTATGCTCGTTCGAGGACGAATAAATGTTTAAGTGTAGGAGGATGTGATGACCCAGCCGGTTGTCTTAAGAATTAACGCCCTTATTCCCTATTAACTGCTTTCCCCGTGTTTATTTCTGCTATTTTTATTTGCTGGGATGTTTGGTTTTGTGTTTTGAAGAGTTTTGGGACACTTAGTCCCTAAATGAGAGCTTAAATTTTGGAAAATTTGACCGTAGTTGGAACAGTGTGAAGACGGCCTCGGAATGGAATTCCGATGGTTTTGTTAGCTCCATTGGGTGATTTCGAGCTTATGGGCGTGTTCGAATTGAATTTTGGAGATTCGTAGCTAATTTAGGCTTGAAATGCTGAAAGTCGAATTTTGATGTTTCCGGTTCGATAGTGAGATTTTCATCCGAGGGTCAGAATGGAATTCCGGAAGTTGGAGTAGCTCTGTAGTGTTGAATGTGACGTGTTTGCAAAATTTTAGGTCATTCGGACGAGGTTTGATAGACTTTTTGATCGAAAGCGTAAATTTAGAGTTTTAGAGTTCTTAGGCTTGAATCTGTGGTTGATGCATCGTTTCGATGTTGTTTTAGGTGTTCTAAGGATTGGTATAAGTTTGGATAGTGGTATATGACTTGTTCGTGCTTTTGGTTGAGGTCCCGGGGGCTTCAGGATGATTTCGGATGTTTGACAGAAAGGTTTAGGCTTGAAAGTTGCAGCTGGAGCTTTAAGTCTGCTGTCATAACCACACCTGCGGCTTAGGGACCGCAGGTGCGAGACCGCAGAAGCGGTCGAGCAATCGCAGAAGCGGAAATAGGGAGAATCAATAGGAGTCGCAGAAGAGGGAGTATTACCGCAGAAGCGGTACCGCATCTGCGTATGGGGAGTCATAGGTGCGGAAAGCTAAGGTTAGTGATTTGTCACAGAAGCGACCTTCGTTTCGCAAAAGTGGGACCGCAGGTGCGGTCCCATGGCTGCAGAATATATAAATACTTGCCTTCGCGAATTTGAGTTATTTTCACTTCTTTTCAAACGGGAAGAAGCCTTGGGAAGCATTTTCAGGGGAAATTTTCAGAGGAATTCATTGGGGTAAGGTCTTTGGTCCCTAAACACATTATCGAGGTTATTTTTATCATTATAAGCATGAAAATTTAAGGAAAATCAGTAGTAATTTGGGGGTTAAGGCTCGGTTAATTAGAGACCTTTGAGTGATGATTTAAGGGACCATTTGAGGTCCGATTTTGGTACTTTTAGTATGACTGAACTCGTGAGAGTGTGAGGATTTAGGAAATGTAAATTTTACCCGATTCAGAGATGTGGGACCGAGGGCATTTTGGTCATTTTACCTAAGTTCGCGTATTAGCTAATAATTCTTTGTAGAATCAGTTACTTGAAGTGTTATTTACATTATGAAATTGAATTGAATAGATTTGGGCCATTTGGAGTAGAGTACTCGTGGCAAGAGGGTGGTTTCGGATTGATTTGAGCTGGTTCGAGGTAAGTGGCTTGCCTAACCTTTTATGGGGGACATTCCCCTTAGGATTCGGTATTGTGGTAATTGAAATGCCTTGTACGTGAGGTTACGAGTGCGTACTTGTGCTACTAAAGTAGCTTTAATTGTGTTTTTCCTTTCCTGCTTACTCTACTTGAAATTTTAGCCTGCTGTTAGCTTAGAAAAGCATGTTTAATTGACTTAATTGCTTTATTGCTTAAACTACCTTGATTGTATTACGTGAAGCATGTTAGGTTAGAATTACCTGTTTTACTTGGTACAAAATTGAGCTTAGTTGAGTATTCTTTGTGTTGTTGTTGTGTCTTTTTTACTTTAGGACTACGGGACGGCATCCTGGAGATCCCCTGTACGTATTTATAATTTGAGCTGAGGTGCGGGATACCGAGAGATCCCTAGCATGTATATTGAGGATACCTAGAGATCCTCGGGATACCAGGAGATCCCTAGCATATTGAGGATACCAAGAGATCCCTAGCATATATTGAGGATACCAAGAGATCCTAGAGATACCAAGAAATCTCTGGCACATATTGAGGGTACTAAGAGATCCTCAGGATCCTCGGTTAGTTGCTTTGTGAAAAGTGGTATTCCTTGTGATTGTTTTGCCTCTATTTCAGTTGTAGTTATCTTTATTATCCTGTTTTAATTCTTATCGTTATCTTTCAATTGTACTGCTTTATCTTATACTGTCACTGTCACGACCCCAAACTCGAAGTCGGTCGTGATGGCACCTCTCGTGAAGACAAGACCAGCCGACACTTCCCATATCCAATTATTAACAGTTAAACCATAAGAAATAAATCTAAAGCA